TGAGTGCTTTACCAGTGAAATATTACAGGACTATTAATACAGTGGGTGTTAAACCTGATCACTGAATAATCACTTAAGCATCTGGTTGTCATTGTCCTTCCTAAGAAAAAAAGGAAAAAAAAATACAGCTGATCTACTCTACTAGTATAAGTAAAAAATAAATTAAAAAAAAAAAAAAAACCAAAATCCACAACAGAAATTCCAGTCTCTTTCCACCCCACCCATATTTCTGGATTTCAGAAGCACTTTATTACAGTAATCCTCCCTCCATATATCAGTTGGTGTAGCATGGACTTTGAAGAACTTGTGGCAGCTTTCTCTGCCTTACTAGCAGAGCTGTGAGCTTGATAACTAATCACTCCTTAATAACTCATGTTTCCTCTGCAAAAGTCCCTGAAATGCAGCTAGTGGCGAAAAATATATGAGCAGGATTTTGTGAAGTAGAAATATCACTTTGGGCTTCTTTCCCAGTAACCCACAGGGTTTTTTGAATGGGGGTGAAGTGACACTGAATTCAGTTCTATTTCCCACATGCCCAGACCTCGCAATTCGGGAGTGATCCCTGGTAGTGTATTTCAGACTTATCCCCAAATAATGAAAACAAAACACAGATTTGCTSAAGGCCTCTCTGGCTTGGCTGCTGCTTGAGTTTGTCCTGTAGGAACTTTCAAAYCCAGGTACCTTTCTCCCAAATAYGTTCCCCCATCCTGGCTTAGACAGRGGAAAATAGCACAAACCAACAGATRCAAATGTATGCCTGCTCAGGACTTTCCCAACTGTGACTCTAAAACGACTGGAGTCRCTGAGATCTTAATTTCTTTGAGAGCACAGGCTCTTTGAGAGGTGACACTAACTGAAGCCACTTTTCTGGTCAYTCTTTTGCCCAAAAGGAAGCATCTGAGCTGCTGCTGGATCAAAAGGTGACAACAGCTCAGTGCCTCATGCACCTGATTGCACAGGCAAATGATTTGCTTAGAAGCTGACACCTTTATTATTATTTATAATTATTATTCCACCTCCTTTACTGGGGGAAGCCTGCGGGTGCTTCAGTACCTTCCCCATTGCTTAACCTGCAGCAGAACCCACACACAATTCCACATCCCATTCCATGGCTGCTGCAGCTGCACAGCCCATCCAGACAGATGAGAACTGCATCTGCCAGGGGCTGGGCAAACCACCCATGCCAACACAGAAACTTGAGTATTCAGCAAAAAGTTGGATAGCCCATGMTGCAGCTGGACATTGTCTCTTTTTTGGCCAAAATATAAAGGCTCCCAAACAGAGGTATTTTGAGCATTTATAGTGAGTTATGAGTTGGAAAAGCATCAGCCGTGCAATGTTATCCAGTATAAGCCCTGTTTTTCTCCTCCTGGTTCATACATTTTCATTCCTCTTTAGATTTCTGGGCACATACTGTGTCTTGTGATGACATGGAAGAACAAGGCCTTTAAGCCTTTATTAATTGCTACTACTGTAGTTTGAAAAGGAGCTATTTAGGAAATTCTCAGTTTTGTTACCATAGGAATGAAGCTGTAAGATTCAGCAAAAGAGCAATTTAAACAACGTTTAAGTAATTCACTTCAACTTTAATTCACTGCTTCATCCAAGCTTCTCTTGGCCGTAAAGAAAAGGACTTTAAAAGCTCTTTCCCCTCCTCAGTGCTGCTTGACTCCAGCCCAAATTAGGAGGTACAGGCCTGTTATCTACAGCAGGTCTTTGCAATGTCCCTTCCCACCCACAGAGCACTTCCTCCTCTTCCCGATGGAAGCAGCTGCAAAGTACTCCTTGGCTCAGGCAGAGGTCCCAGTCTGGTTTTTTTCAGCTCGTTTAAAACAATGTTTATGTAGTTTTTATACAGTAAGAAYAGGGATGCCTGCATTTGATGAGTTTGGCCATTACTCAGCCTAACTCTGAGCTARGGGAACTCCTGTCTGCCCATTTCTGAGCTGGTTTGCTCCTCTTTTTCTATAGCAAAGGTTTAGGTCTGCATTAAGTAAAAAAGCAGAACAGGACAGGTGAGTTGATTGGACATTCTGYTGATCTTCTCCAGCAGGCAGGAGGAGACAAAGCAAGGAAGGAGAACAGTGAAGAGCCAATGCTCACATTAGCTATTGCCTCCTGTTTATTTTTTAAACCTTTGAACTGTGGAAACTTGACAAGTAGCAAGAAAGTGGAGAAAAGTTTTGTTTTCCCTGGACTGGRCTCTTTTGAGATGCTATCCCTATGCAGATTTGGGAACAGCGTTCTGGTTTCCCACCTCATGTGTGGGAGAGCCTTGGAAGGGACTGCTTAGTAGAACAGGGAATCTTTCCCCCTTCAACCAGATGTCTGGCATTAATGAGGAGATTGGGAGCAGAGTTCCTCTGCTCTCAGCAATGGTAACAGGTTTGATGATTTTCATAGTGCACAAGGGACACCTTTAGCTCCCCACATGTCCCAAARCACAGCACTTCTTTCTTCAAAGCTCCTTTGACTCACTGCTCCGGACCCTGGCTCAGGAAGTGGGAGGGGAGCCTCTCCAGGACATTACAATGCGAGTCTGTCGCTTCACAGGTGCTGTCAGGTGCTGCAGCCACTCATGCCTGGCTCTTCCTCAGAAAAAGTGGATGAGCCAAGAAAGCAACCCAGTGACCATATTCTGGAATGACTTTCTGGCAATTACAGTGGCCTTATTTATCACCCAAAGTCTCCTTTTCATTGCATGTGTGACACTCTACTGTGTGTCCTTGCTTCTAGAGCCTGGCTTATCTTCCGGCTGTCTGGCCAAGTCTGCTCCGGTAAGCTGYGACCACAGGATCCTGTCTCCACAGCACATGACAAACTGGTCACAGGGATAGGRAATGACATTGTTACACCAAAAAAGACACTATCAACACCATTCCAGCAGGGTATTGTCCACCAGAGCCAGCCAGCTGGAGACTACTTCGTGTTCAGCTCTGTTTTCAGCAAAGGTGTAACAGCATTTTCACAGCTCCCACTGTTATTACTGTTGGCTACAGGCAAACAGGTATTTTCAGACACAGSCCCCTTACACACACAAACTTCTTTCTCTGGAGCTGGCGAAGAGGTTGAAACTGGATCCTTTTATGGCCATGTACAAGAGGGGTTTTCATAAGCAAGCTGGCGATTCTGGCAGGCACAGTTGTTGCTCTGTTGAGGTAGCTGATAGCACTCTGGGGTCCCTCCACCCCCTTAAATTCACCTTGTTGTGCTGCCCACTCATTTGTGCCCTCATTTCCACACAGATTCACATATATGGTCACAGTCAAAAGAGGGGACCTCGTTCATATTTTGTGCAGTATTTCCTAGCATCCCAAAGGGGAAAAAAATGAGAGAGGAGGAAGACGTTGAAGAACTAGGATGTTTTTACTGGCTTTTCATTTCTTTTATCTCCCCTCCAGCTCCAGGCCYACAGGAAAACATTTTTACTATTACTACTATCCTAATATATTGAAGTCYACAAAAAGGATACAACAGGCGAAAGTGGCTCTTGCTGATCCTATGCTGATGTAGCATTTTAACTGAGCACTTGTATTTTTTAAATATAAGCTTTCAAACTATTAAGAATACCAAGGTGAAGGAACTCTTCTAGTGTCTCAGTTTTCCTACTTTCAATGTTCTCTTGCATTCCTTTGAATCCAGCTAAAAGACTGGACAATCACAGAAACCATTAACTAAATGTAAGATAAGCCAAAAGRGGAACCACTGAAGTTGCAAAACTTAGGTAGGACAGTGAAATATGAATACAGGAGAGGGGATGGGGTGAGTGCAGCAGGGAAGAGCAAGAGTTTAAACTTATCCCAGTATATTATCAGCATTCCCTCGGGCATTCTATTCAAAAAGGTGGGATTTAATCTGCATTGCCTTTGAATAAGCAATTTAATCTCTAAGAACTTCTGCCTCGCATATGCCTTTTTACCTGATTGCTGACAGAGCTACTTCACTGATAGTGTTCTGGTAAAATACCTTCTGGGTAAATGTGCTTTTATAAACAACCCATTCTGAAGTCAGTGAAACTGTAATGCATTTATGGGACAGAACCTTGGCATGTGTAATATAAAAGTCACTTTGGGGAACTGGAGCTGGTTGATGGCAGCTGAGTCTAGCTTAATGCTCTTACCAGGACATCCTATCTCCTGCCTTCTCTTGTGCAGACTTTTTCTAAAATAAACAGTATCTTACAGTTCCAAAACTGCCACGGGAGCATGCTTAGACTCAAGTCTCCTCATTTCCTCATCCCTGTGGTGCCAAGGACATGTTAGAGTGGTCATGGAGCTGTCAAGTTAATGCAACACTCCTGAACTACCCGAGAGAGATTACAACCCTCACACTACTCTCCTTGTCTCAGCGGAGGAAAGGCTGTCTGTAGAAATGGAATTTTAACATTTATGCCTCCCCCTTGTGTCTCTACCACATGAACTCACAACATTATTTTTATATCTCAAAAGATCTCTACAAATGCAAACTATACACATGGTATTGTCTTGTTTCTTGGTAAATATGTAAATCCCAGAGAGCATTGAAAACAAAACKTCTTTGAGATGCTGAGTGTAAAATTTCCTGTGGAAATCAGCCAGAATTACAACTTTTACAGAAGCCATCTACTATTTAACAGAGGATAGGGAGCATAATATTCCATGCCTTCATTGAACCCAATCTATGAATAGACAAACTGAGTATTATTAATTCTGTTTCACCAGAAAAGAACAATGTTGCCACTGATTTGATGAGAAATTGATTTGATTAGGGTTGGGAAGTTTGTTTTGTTGTTGTTTGTTGTTGGGCTTTTTCTTAAAAAAGTGATAAAGTACTGTTATTTGAGAGAACCTGGATAAAACAACATGGAAAACCAAGGAAGGGAGAATTCCTGGCCCGATCCTGACCCCCCCTCGAAAGAATAAGGTCAGATATGTCTTTTTTTCACAAAGAGTTTGTCTGCACAGAGAGAGCAAAAAGTTACCTGATGACAAGCAGAAGAAAAAATCAGAAGTCAAACATACCTGACTTGCCCACGCCGGCTCGACCGAAGATCGCCAACTTCACTTCTGCACTCTTGGCCATGCTGGAAGGAATGGAGTGGCAGCAAACTCACTCAATTATCAAAAGTGAAGCAGAAGAACTGTTCCCAGCTCCTGCCTTCGGCTTCACCGTGTCATTGTGACGTCAATGCAGAGCCTGGGGAAGAATACCACAAGGATGGAACTGCAAGGAGCTGGGCTCTCCCTTTYCCCTGCCTACCCCCCTCCCTTTTTCTCCTTTTTAAATAATCATGGTAATTGCTGCTATGTTCCTGCTTTTAAACATTGCAGTAACACCACTGACACATTTGGCACTGTTTGCACAAAACCCACCTTCAGCTTTCTGGCTACAGCTCTCTGCTTCACACTGGCACTGTAATATTGCAAAAGGTACTTAACAAACCCAAGTACCTGCCTTACAATGCTCGTTGCTTTTTCTTTCTTTGTTTCTTTCTCTTTCAGCTGCAGCTGAATAGATTTAACATATTTGAATCAGCTGCAATGAATTCTTTTTTGTACAATATATTTAATAGCTGTGAGCACTCACTGGTACAGCCTGCAGATAGCTAATATTTCCTCGAGCCCTCCAGCCCYAAAAAGGTTTCAATTACTCAGCCTCATTTGCCTAAAAACCTCTAAGCACTTGTACCTTGCTCACTGTCCTAAACAAATCCATACCCAGAAAGTTCTCCAGCGCTCCTTTTTAAGCTGCCTCAGCTCATACATAAACATTCAGCAARGCATGGGGTTAGCTGAAGGATGCCAGAGTTTCTGGTACTGCGYTTTGAGCAGGCAGCATGGCAATTATCTGCATTCACAGTTTTCCTGCATGACCTTGATTTCSCTAACCTGGACAGTAAAATCTGTAACCATACCTGTCATTCTAGCATGCTTTAAGATCTTCAGTGAAAGAATGGCAGTCGTGATGATGATGATGATGATGATCCTCGGCCCTGACAAAAACGTCAAATATTCAGTCTCCCCTCAAAACAGGGCAGAACTTTGTGTGAGTACAACCAGTCACAGGTTTGCTTTTGAGCTGAAGTATGCACTTTAGCCATGAATTCTAACAGTGGTGTAGGATGCTTTCCATGTCAGCACTACTTGCTCTACAGCAAAATACCTTTCAAACGTGTTTCTTGGAAAAAAAGGAAAAAAAAAGAAAAAAAAAAAAAAAAAGCCTTCTTCCTATACAAAAACGCTTGTAAAAAGAAAAGGTAAAGACACCTTACATCGAGAACGGTCCCGATGCATCTCTGGCGTCTAAATGCTCCTGATTCCTTCTGCTTTAGAGTATCAGAGTACCATATCGCTCGCAATCTGCACGGACAGCAGGAGGTACAAACAGTTTCAGGAGGTGACGGGATGGGACACGGGTGACCGGGACACCGGTGTCTGCCTCCCGSGAAAGCTCTCTGCCGCCCGCCGCTCCCCGGCCCCGCTCCGCTCCGCAGCAGAGCTGCTGCCCYGCTCCGCAGCCGTTCACATTGCCATGCAGGTATCGATTCCCGCCGGCTCTGTCGCTCCGGCCAGGCTCCGCTCCCCCCCGCTCCGGGCAGCTGCGGCCACCGGCGCTGCCCGGCTCCCCGCGCCGAATCGTGCCCGTCGCGCCCGTCCCTTGTCCCCRCAGCCGCGGAGGAGCCCCGCCGCGCCCGCCCGGTACTCACCTCTGTGCGCGGCCCCGGGCGCTCCCGCCGGCGCAGCGGCGCGGCCGCACAATGCGGAGGGTCCGCCCGCCCTCCGCCTCAGCCCTCACCCTCAGCCCTCAGCCCGGCTCCCRCAGCGCCCGCGGGCCGGCCGCGCCCCCTGCGGGCCGAGCGGAGCAGCG